CTAGCAGGATAGCTAGATTCATGGGATTGATGATTTACCTAGTTTTGCTCTTTCTCCCATTAACAGGAAAGAGTTGGAAGACCCTGTAGCCCTCTACTCCCAATAGGCAATTAGGATTGGGTAAGAATTAGAAAATACCTTCCTGATTCAATATGTGATAGCATTGCTTTAGTTAATCCCCCTTTGTTATCTAATAATTCAGGTCAGAAACATAACAATAATAGTTTATTCTATACTAGTTTTGCTTATAATATGCTTATTATTGCTAATCAAACTAATAATGATGATACTAATCATCAGGTTTTTAAACTCATTTGGGGTTGTAAAGGTCCCCCTAGCATTGATATTTTTCTCTAGAAAATTGCCCATGGTAGATTACTAACTAATAAGGAGAGATTCAACCAAAATATGTCTAATTCCCCTTGTGTGTTAGGTGCAATGAGGCTCTTGAATCTATGATTCATGTCCTTAGAGACTATTGGTGGGCTAACCAAATATGGAACAAAATCCTTCCTAATAGAAACTAGGCTTGTTTCTTTAGTTTGGATTTAACTAACTAGCTAACTTTTAATCTGACTATTCAGAATTTTCCCATGTTTCTTTTATGACATTCCTAATTTGCTATTGTTGCTAGAAATTTGTGCAAAAATAGAAATAATAGTGTTTTTCAGAATTCTCCTTTAAATAATGAGGCCTTGTTGACTAAGATTGCTTTTAAGTTTAATTACTTGCAGTCCTGTGACAGAGGTGGATCGAGAGCTAATTCTGGACTGAGGAAGCAGCAGGATCTGATCAAGTGGCTCCCTTGTCTTGAGAAGCAATTAAAGCTCAATATAGATGAATTTGTCATCCAATCTAGAAGGAAAGCTAGCTATAGGAGTGTTATTCGTGACCATACAGGGGCTTCATTGTAGGCTTCAGAAAGTCCCTTCACTTTTGTTCTCCGATCGAAGTTGAGCTTTAGGGCATTACTTAGGGCCTTAAGCTGATCAACTCTAAAAATATCAATTGTATATGGATTGAGTGTGATTGTAGGGAGACTATCTCACTTGTTGTAAATATTCAGTCTAACAATCATCCTTTATTTGATATCATTAAAGATATTAAGGATAATGTGAAAAGGATAAAATTTGTTAGGTTTAGCTATATTCTTAGATAAGCTAACCAAAGTATTGACTGATTAGTTAGGTTAGATGATGAGATAAGAATGTCTTTTTGTTGTTTTGACAAAGCTTTCCTTTCTCTAGAGCCTTTCCTTAGGCTTAATTCTCTTAGTATTTCTTAGCCTAAGCTTGGTAACCAGTGTGTTGTTGTGTTTTTGAGCTGTGTAAGCCCCGTTGAATAACAAAATATATATATATATATATATATATATATATATATATATATATATCTTAAAAGAATTTGAATATAGTAGTTAATTTATTTGTATTTATACGGGGTGTTAATAAATATTAAATTAAATTTATTTTTACACAAAAAAATTCATGTGATCCAATCATTGTGTGATTCAATTTGGATTGACTTAAAAAAATTAAATTTGATCTGATATATTTCAGTCAAAATCAATTTAAATTTGATTAGATAATTTAATTATTATAATTATATTTTTCATTTAATTAAAAGGTAATAAATAAATTATTTTAAATAAAATTATTTTTTATATGAAAAATATATAAAAAGTATGAAATAGAAGAATGATTTTTAATTAATCTACAAATATATACTTACATAATTATGTAAATAGTAAAATATATCTCTAAAAATAATAATATGGTACAAATTTAAAAATAAAATAATAAAAATAGTTAAGTATTATATTTTTATTAATATGTAATTTTATAAATTATATATATATATATATATATATGATTTGAATTTTGAAATAGATCTAGAATCTAATATAATTTAATAAAACAAGTTTAGTTTGTCCGAATAATTTTTTTTTTAATTTTTGCAATTTAAACACTTCAAATAAATATAAGTATTATTGAAAATAATTAATATTTTTAAATGTTGAAGGAAATAAATATTTTGAGTTAAACTAAAATAATCAGAAAGACATATAATATGAGAAAAAAAGGGTTGAAGGATTAACTTTTTGGTGAAAATTTTCATATTATCTAATCTACCTAACGAGTTACTCGAGTTAATTTCTAGATTATATAATTTACATAAGCGTATGAGTTAACGTGATTTTAATTCATTTAGACCTAACCCATTTAATAAATAAATCAAACTTCAGTTTTACAAAAAAATGTCTAACTGACTGTGAAAAAGGCTTGGGTTTAAGATGAAAAAAAATTTAGCGTGTTGAATTGACCTATTTATCTATTATTTATTTAAAATCAATAATTTATAGTATTTACATAATCATTTAATCATAGACTAATATAATATGTTTATTATATAAGCATATAATAATCTCATTAAAGGTGTATCTATCTTAAATTATATATTTGTTAACTTATACATAGGGTCTGTTTTATAATAGGAATTAATTCAATGTAAATTTGAGGCTTAGAGTAATTTAAATATACATCTCAAATATATTAAATAATTTAAAAATAATTATATTCAACTTAAAATAAATGAAATTATACCTTAATATTAGCATGAGTTTCTAAATAATTTTCGAAATCATATTAGACTTTATGTTTGACAAATAGGTTAGAATTAGAGAAGAAAAAGATAAAGCATGTATTAAAATAGCTTGCAAGACTCAAGCTAAAAATTTTCTAAATAAACTTTTTAAGTTTATTTGTGGGTTTTAAGTAAAAACAAAAAAACATGATTTTGCGATTGAGAAAGATTTTGTTATTGAAATCTTTCGTCATTTTTTTATTCTACCTTTACCTTTCTTCCTTTTTTATATCCTTTTAGAGCCTCATTTTAGTTAAATAGTCAGTAATTATTAGGCCTAATACTTATCAACAATTCTTGTGGTATTGAAGTTTTAAATATTTATTTTTATTATCACATTTTTAAATATTTTTATTATTTTATAAATATTGTTTAATAAACCATAAAATAAAATAAAAAAATTTCAGTGAAGAGTTGCATTTCCCAGATCATTTGTGATGAAAATTTTTATTTCAATTTTTTTTTTCAGTTGATCCAAACTGTGGAAATGTTAACTCTATTTAATGGCATCCTGTTTCAACGCTGTTTAGTGTTTATTACAGCAAAACCAAACGGAGCGTAAGGCAACAATCCTAATAAAACATTGTCACTGTTATTAGTGAAAATAATTTAAGACCTACTACCAATATGATCTTATTAACTAATTTTTAAGAGTATTAATTAAAAATTAATAAATCATTATAAAAAATTAATAAATAGAAAGTTATTATTAAAAATTATGTTGATATTGTATTAGAAATCCCAATGAAAGCACGTTAATAATACTTTTTTTCAATAATTTTTAACTTTTTTAACCAGTACTCCTAAAGTACCAGTTGGCATTGTTATATCAACAATATAATTTAACTTAAAAATTTTAAAATTTATTTCTTAAGATTAATATTCATACTGTCTAATATTTTTTATTTATTTTCTTAAGTAGTGAGGATTATTAGTGTAACAGAAGTAAGGACTTATCTATTTTTCTACACTTAAAAACAATATATTAAATGAGAGAACTTTTAAATGTGAATGTGAAAGTGAAAGAGGTAAAATTTGATTATTAGATCTAATTATATATAAATAAACTTAAAATATTAACTGATATAACATTTTAATATAATTATGTTATTATTAATTATATTTTAATTTTAATTATTTATGTATGATTGTGATCAAAATTTATTCTTATCATCTCTCATGTTTTTGAAAAAATCACCTCACTAAATATGTTCCAATACTTAAAATATCTATACCCTTTTCATAAAAATTAAAGTTTTAATAATTTTTTTATCCTTATAAATGTTATTTTTAAAATTTTATATAAATTTAATTAATATTTTAAAAGAAAAAAATTAGTGTATAAAAAATTAAATATTAATAAAAATTTTAAACAGTAGATATTAATTTTTTATTCTTTTAAAATGCTGAATATGTTAAATGTTAATTATTTTTTAAAGAACTAATTTTAGAAATGATTATACTTATAGAGATAAAAAATTTATTTAAAACTAAAAATTAATTTCTTATTTTATAAATTTAATGAACATTAACTTAAAAAAAGAAAATAATAAACGATAATTTAAAACATTCTTGTTTTCTATTTTAAAAGTAATTTTTTATTTTTAAAAATACAATATAATAGAAATTTATATTATATTATATTTTTAAAAAATAATTAAAATTAAAACATATTCTTACTCTTTCATTTTCTTCTTTATTTAGTTATCATTCATAAGATTATCAACGTAAAGCTCATGGTCTATCCATGGTAAAAACTGGAGAATAAACACTTAATAAGTTAATAGCCTATCTGTTTATTCGATCGAACTCCGTTTTTCAAAATTAAAACAAAATATTTATTTCGCAAACTTCCGTTATACATGATTTTGTGTCTTGAAAAATGAGCAAACTTGAATACGAACTTTAAGCAAACAGGCTATTTTAACCCTCAAAATTTTAAAAATCTCTCGTTAATTTTAAAATTTATAAAAATGTACTTAATTTATTTATTTTTATTAACTTTTTATTTATAAACTAAATTAAATAGTATTTTTTTAGTGAATTTTATTTTATTTTTAAATAATTTTATTTCATAATTTTAAAATAGAATTACATTTTTCTTCTAATTTTACTTTTAAAATAATAATTATTTTAAAACTCATTTTTATCTTATTTATTTATTGCATAAACAAATTTTAAAATGAATATGATATTTTTTAAATAATTTTAATAAAAATAAAATAATTAAATGTATTTTATCATTTTATAAAATTAGAAATTAATAAAAAAATTAAAATGTCCTGCACTAAAATATCTAATTAATACAAGTTTAACGAGTAAGATCGCGAGTTTAGTTTAAAACTGGGCGTAAAGGGTACGTAGCTAAATTCAAAAATTGGCTTCCTCCATGATCTCAAAGTGCGAATTCACCGTTTGCGTCATGGTTCCCCCAAAACCCCATCCTCCAATTCCCGTTTCAGCTCGTCAACTTCGTATTCTTTCTATTCTTAGTGCATGTTTAGATTCCATTCATTTTTTGGAAAAATAATAACTGTTTTTTTTTTTCTCATCGTTTTATTATCAAAAGCTTTCTCAGTAACATTTATTAGGGTTTGGATTCTGTTAATATTAGTTTTAGGGTTGTAAATTAGCTTTTTTTTTTTCTGAACTTTAAAATTCCAGTACATACCCAAATTACATGCATTTAGTCGGTTAAGTTATGTGCATTCCTCACGTGGAGACTCATCCAGAGAAATGAAACGTAATTTTCATTATTTAGGTACTAATGTGATTGATACTATATTTTTTTGAAGAAATAATTTGACAATTTAATGTTAAAATTGACTGACCTTATCACTCTGTTTTTCTTTTGGTTGTAATTGAGTGTGCCAATGTTTTTAATAATGCATTAATGTTTTTAATTATTCTGGTTGGATGCCATGTTCGAAGTATAACCATGCTGGTTTGTTACAATCTACTACTTTGCTGGGCGGCTTCTGAATGAGAGGATCTTGTGTACTCTGGGAGTCAATCTATGACCATACATATCGTTGGATTAGAATGAAGTATTATTAAATTAGATATGGGCCATTGTTAAACTATCAAGAGTGTTACTCTTAGAGTGCACACGTATTTTTCCTGAAGCAAAATTAAATTTATGGCATCTCCAAGAGAATGTGAAATAGGTCTTTTGGATGTAGGCAGTAGTAGTATGTATTATGTAATTGCACAAGATATAGTGTTATGTAGAGGTTGGTTCTGATGATGATTAACTATCTAATGCACACAGGAATTTAGTGACTGGTGGGAAGGGTGGTTCACTATTTGAGTGCTAGTGGCTTGCGTCTGAGATAGCACTCAGCCATTTCTTATATGGCCCTTTCTACGGATGGAAAATGCTTCAAATGATGAGTTCCACTGGCATATTTCCAGTGGACACAGGTTTTTCAAGGGGGGTTTAGGAGGAGGAAAAGTTTAACCCTTATTTTGGGTTTGATCATCTCCAAGATTATTTTGATTCTGAACTTCTGTAGAAATACAAAGGAATCTGTGTCATTCACTCTTGTCTGCCAGCAACCATGTGGTGAGTAGTCATTATAACAAAATATTTTTGCGTAGCCATGAAATTATGAACAAATTGACAGTTTGTACTAAATGAATTTTATTCTGAGAACATTGATAACTATCAAAACCTCTTTTTCGTTGGATCATTAATATATATAGCAAATGTTTCTAATATTTTCACTTGTGTTTTCTTAATCTCTTCCGATAGAATATGTATATTACTATAGCTTTAGAACTTTTTCTTATTTTGAACATCTTGGGCTAAACTATGAACATTTATACTAAAGCTTCTTGTTTTCCCTTAGTCCAGTGTGCTTTTATTGATGGAGACCCTTCCCCTGAGCGGTGGGGTAAAACAACAGCAGAAGAGCAGTCACATATTCTAATCTTGGTTGGCCTGTTGTCATTACAGAAATAAATCCCTCCATTGCTAATGTTGGTTTTTGTGGAGAAGCTGCTATTAACCATTCACAAATTATGCTTTGCTGCATATTCCATCGAATGTCCCAGAGACTCGAGGGAGAAGGTGCTTTACCGTTCAGTACTGTTCTTTTTCTGAAGGTAATAGGTTCCTTGTCTAACTATTATAATTTTGGAAAATTTTTTGTAGTTGTTTTCTTTTGCAGTTTCCAGCTCAAAGATGAAGTCATTACTTTTGTGGGGTTTGATCTCTTTGGCTTTAAGATCTTTCAGAGTTCCTTTGGAATCCTCCTCCTCTTTTTGTTTCAGGATGGAATATTTTGTTCTTTCCAAACTTGAAATATGTGTTTAATAAATAAACTATTTTGTGTTTCTTTTCCCCTTCTTTTGTATAGTATGTTTTAGCGAAATTAATTCATTTCATTATGCCACCCCACAAGTTTCTCCCATTCTTCATTTGCCCTTGGATTCTAAATATTTCAAATGGTTTACTTTTATACTCTCCCTTTTAGTTCTAAGGCATTAACAGAATTGAATGGTGATTACATTGAAATTTCTTATTTTTTAGTTTTCTTAATTTCTTACAACTGAATAGTGGTTATTTTCCTTGTGGATGGGAGTAAAATAGGAAACATGGAAGGCCATGTAGATTTTCAATTTTCATACTGCTTTAAGGTTTGCCATTTTCAGTTACTTCATAAAGCATTGATACAAAATGCAATCAACTAGTTAGACACCACCTTGATTGAGTTACCAGTCTATACCCACCAGTCTATGTAAATGGATTTCAACCATGTTATATTTTATATGCTCCCTCTTTTAAAAAATTTTGGTCAGACTTCAGCCTATTTGTTTTTTCTGGAGTTGGTTGTATGAGTTTAGCTTCCCATGAAGGAAAATATACCTTCAGAAAAGAATGCAGAAGAAAACACCTCGGGTAAAATTGCGAAATAAGATGCAGACGTACTGCATGAAAGCCACATCACTATCAGTGAAACCCATCTTCTGACCAGCCAGGTGATTTACAATATAGGAGTCCATCATCATCACATGTGCCCAATGTCAGTCAACTGCTTGCTAGTTAGGTTGTTAGGAAAGGTAATCAAGGCCTACATATTGAGCATTACATAGATTGTTAGTTACGTTCTATTATGCAGAATTCTATAGTGTAGTTGTGTAGCTTCCATATAGTTCATGTAGTCTCCATTTGCACTGCTTATCTCCTATAAATATATGACAAGCTCCCTGTATCCAGACCATCTTATTCAATCAATTAACACAATGATTTTCAATGACACACCTCTTTGCTACTTTGAGCTTTATGATATGTGGCCATATCAAGTTAGCATCACATGCCTTCCCTACAAGTTCAGATTGGGGGACTGAAAAAGAGCTTGAAAATTACAATGGCATGGGACCAAGAAATGGGTTGTCTAGAATAACAGGAAACTTAAAAATTTTGACCATATTAGAGTGCAAATCAGTGGTCTTTTATTTGGAAATGGGAGTATCCAGGTTCAGATTATTTGGAAATCTGTTTATAAGCTGCCCAGCATTTTGTAGATATGCACAAAGCTCTTGTTAAGCAAGGCATAATATCAACCTTACATTTCAGACTCTAATCCCTAGGTAAGTTTCATTGTTTTATCCAAGGTCAATTTATGCTTGCAAGATGCATATGTAAATGTGGTGCTTAACAATGTTTCAGTTTAATCTATAAGTGGACACCGCATTGTTGTCATTTTGGGAGAGGCGATGTTATACAAGTAATTACAAACATCACTTTATATATGCAAAAACTCCCGCCTTTGGTACTGTTAGATTTACGTTTGGATATTTGCAGTGTCACATTGAAACTTTCTTGCATAGATCTACTTGCAATATAATGGTTCTGCACATTACCTGTTTCTTTTAGCCTCTTCTATAGTTAGTTGTCCATATGGCGTTTTCTTTTTGGAATTTCTCCGAGCCGTACTATTTTCTGTCCAATTTTAAGATGTCTTGTATAACATTGCATTCAAGATAACATAATCAATCCTCTTTTCTGACCCATCATCACCTAGCAGCGACAAATTAATTGGAACCAACATAGCAATTTTATTTCATTTCTTTTACCCTGAAAATAATGGCTACTTGGTTATATTTTTGTATTTTCTTTTAAACATTTTGATTATCATTGATCTTCCCCTGACTAAGCTAAAATTTCCACTAAGTTTGTTCTATTTTTTGTGATTATTTGATAGATATCATGTATGGTATGGATAAGAAAAACATCTATCATATTCATTGAGAATGACTTCTTCCTGGCCAATACAACGGTAGCTTCTAGGTAACACATGGTAGAGTTTTCCTTTTCTCTTTTCTTTTTTATGTAAAAGGAAGAGTTTAATTGCAAGTCCCAAGTCAGTGTAACATGCTTCTGTAACATGAATTTTCCCCATTGCTTTCACAAGTGAAATATAGATTACTGATTTTTAAACTTGATGGTTCACACTTGTCCTAGATTGAATGCAATCATTTTCCAAGTGGCATGTTATTCTCCTTTTGGTCCAGGTTGGCATGTTTCTCTAGGTAACACATGGTATTTGTCAATGTGTATTGGTTGTCTTTTGAAACAAAGGAGGGTTCCCAAACTAATGGTTTGGTACCACTTTACATCTAAACCACTACGTCCATTCATTGTAGAATGCATGTTAGGAAGGGTAACTACACTGGGACCATTTTTTAGACAGTGACAAGTCCAATATGCTTCTGCTTAACTTTACGAGATTTATTGATGCTTGTGAATTCATGACACATTTTTTGCTAACTAGTTGGATAATTACATGATACCTATTCGATTAGAGAAAGCCTCTCTTGACCTACATTTTATGGCACCTGGATGCTCTCAAGGCTTTCCTTATTTAGTTACTCCATGACACAAATGTAGTTGAGGGAAATCCTCTCCAGCTGGAAGCATTTATTATAAAGGGCTTTTTTAACTTGCGCAGCATCAGCATTGTACATAATAAGAAATTATATAGAATTAATTTTTATTAAAAATTATAGAATTCAATGTATTCAAATTATTAAATGTTACAATTTTCAATAAAAAAATTATATTATATATAGGTTATTATGGGTAATATAACGTTGGTTATACATATTGTAATAATGATGATGATAAAATATGTTTTTAATTTTTACTTTTGTAAAATTTTAATTTTAGTCTCTAGAAAAGTGATTTTAGTCACTAATTTTTTATTTTTAAATTCAACGCTTTCGATCTCTTTCATTGACATGGTGTCATAAAAATTTACACGTGACATAAATTATGTAGCAACCTCTTAGTTAACCACATTATAACTCACAAAAGTGTAATAAGCAAAAACATAATTGGAAGTAGGAATGAATGTGATTTGGTTTGATTCAATATTTATACAAAAGTTATTGGAATTGAACATAAAAATAATATGCAGTTGATTTGATTTGATTTTTTTTGAATGTAACATTGAAATTGAGACAAATCAAATAAATTATTTTGTAGTTTAATTTGAATATTTTTATTTATTTATTTATTTATATTTTAATTACTTTTATTAAAAAAATATTTATTTTCACATGAATTTTAATTTAATTTTATCAAAGGGGTGGCTTAATAAGGCAAAAAAATCTTAGTTTGTTGAAAAAACCAAAAGTACAGAGGAACGAAGGGGGGGAACTTAATTGAGAGAAAAGTGTAAGAGTCTTAAGTAAATAGGAATACCGTATATTTATGTAAAGTAATTATAAGATTAAGAAAAAAAATAGTGTTTATATGGAGATATAATAGAACCAATAATATAAGCAGTTCAGTTCAATTTCAATAAGTAAACTAAAAATTTGAATTAGTTTACAATAAATATACAATTTTTTTAACTATTTATATTTCTGTATTATCAAATTTTTTTTTTATCATAGTTCAGTTTAATTTTAAATACTTGTAATTTAAGCCTCACGACAACGATGATAATAATAATAATACCCTAGAGGTTGGATGTACGTGTTGGAAGAGAGAATCGTGAAACTGCAAATGGAGGTCGACGGTGGTTGGCTGATTTACATGCACACAATGAGCTGATTCGCATACCTTGGGTAGCTTGTAAATTATGAAAGGATATGGAGCTAAAGCACTTTTCGGCTTGAATTTGCATATTATTTCATTGATATATAGATGATAATTCGATTATAAAAAAGACAAAGACGAACATTTGGTTTTGTATTGACTATTCTAGAAATAAATGACCATTTGAATATTTTCTTAGATGTTACTCATGTCATGATGATAAGATCAATGCAAGACTTGAAACGAAAAATAAGCCAAGAAAGCACTAAAATAAAAGGGAAAGACAGCTATAATGTTAGCACGCTCTGAAGCCTATTCATGAACCTTTGAAATGGCAAAACCAAAGTCAGTCCAAAGTGGTCCCCACAACTAGTGACCTACCCCAACAAGATATGAAGATGGTATTATTACTATCCAATCATATTTAATAACAATGCCTTCCTTACTGTTGACTGCAATTAATCCTGCCGTTACCCGTTTTATCATGCACTCTCTAGATTCATTACCTTATCCACTAGTTATATAGATCATTTTTTATCCCTACATAAAGGAGATCAAAATGGAGAGTTATATTATGTGATCAAAATGATTTTTCCCATTATTTGGATATGCATGAAAATTTATAAAGCTATATGGTTTGGGCTACTTGTTTATGACACCTTTGACACGAGGTCAATGACTTTTTTACATCTGTGGCTCCTCGCTAATAATCATAAAGGTATATATGCCCATTGGAATTCAAATTCAAAATCCTTAGTGTGACATTTGAAGCTAGTTAATTGGCCTGCTCTTCTCCAAGTTTAGGTGATTAGATTATAAGATTATGACACCATTTAGTTGGCAATTGCAAAAGGTAAACGCCACATAAAGAAAGGAGGAATTGTTTTACCGTCCTCGTATCATTAGACCAATTCAATGGGTTGTTAGGTAAAATTAAATACAATATACTTTGATTAGTAATTTCAATATTACAAGGCATTGACCGGTCTGGTCTAAACGAATTGTTTAAGCATAAAATAATAATAACAATAATGAGAAGACAAATATTTTAATTTACATTTCTAGTTGATTCTTAGTCATAGAAAGAGCACTTCTTGTCTAACCAGTTGTGTCTATGTGACACACACTCCATATATATGAATTTAATATAGAGGGGGAAACCTTATTTTCTGTTGTCCAAGTGTAGGAAGGTTTGATCACTGACAATGTCTTTTTAACCTTAATTTGGTGATTGCAACTTCCTTGCATGATCTGAAGACAGATAAAAAAAAGTCGAGACAAAGAAAAGGAACATATGCCATTTTTCTGATAGTAACTGCTTCCTACCAAAATTGATCGGGTCAAACCGGTGTGGTTTTTGTAAAGGAGAAACAATTCAGTTCTATTACTGTTCTATGTACGTTCTTCTTATGCCATACACATGCACATGCCCATTCCCATTATTAGGGTTGACTACTTTCACTAGTTGACATTTTTTTAAATAATTATTATTTGATATCATTGACCACTTTTTTTTTTTTTCATTTCATTTCAATTTTTCCTCGCCTGCGTGAGGTAGCTAGAACTCACTTATTAAGTCGGAAGAAATGTTACTTCAACGCCAATAACATACTTCTAAATCCTTTTTCTTGGGTGGGGGTGGGGGGATTACAGATACTGTTTTGGGATATATGGTTGAGTTATTAAAATAATGTACATAAAAATCATTATCCTTAAACCATAGAATAAAAAATCATTGGCAACCTGGGCTATAAAATTTTCTGATTAAACACTCTGAGTTCTACACGCCTTTGAATAAATTTCTTAATGAAGTATTTATATAAAAATCTTATTCTTATAAATTACACCGTAAAACTTATCTGACAAAAGTAATTATATAACAAGATAAATATAAATAAGCTTCATGAAAAATCTATGATATAGGCATAAGAAAACTTGAAATCATACGGGTTTGTGTGACTATATATGTTTCAACGATTGCTTTTCTGTAAGATGTGGGGATTTCATTTATGTCAATGTTGAAAGCAATGGCCTGCGTGGGGACCCTTTAGTTTGACTAAACAACCGTTTTGTTTCCTTTGCCTTGAAAGAGGGAGAAGAGGCGTTGAAGCAATAAGATACTTTGAAGCAATAAGATACTTTGAGTCAGATCAAACATGTTGTCTCTCATAAATTGTGAAGTGCTGTATTGCCAATGAGCTAGTAATAGTTACTAGTTAATGGCATCTACATGCTTTTTACCAGGTTGTGTCATATATATATATAGGTAATTAAGTTCGGTTTATGGAAAAACAAGGTTCAAATTGATTAAACAAAATTTGATGTTTTGATTAGTAAATTTTTAGTAAAAACTATTTACAATAATATAATGAATTGAGTTTGTGCAAAATTTAAATGGAAAATAAGGTAATAAAAATGAAAATTTAACTAAATTTACTTAATTTAAAAATAAAGAAAAGATAATTTGAAATAAAGTTAAAATATTAAATTAAAAGGTTAAGAAAATATAATGGTAGATGAAAAATTGAGTGCAATAATATATATAACCGAAATATATGAGGATACTTGAGAAACCACAGAGACATATAAATACGTTTTCATATGGTTCTTTAAATTCATATTTGTTGGTTATTCGTTTTTATGTGGCTAGAATAACTTTAAGTAACCTAAAATTAATTCTAACGATACTTTATTATGGTTAATAAATATGAAGAATCGATTCTCATAATTACCAATTTAACCAAAATTAAATTTTAGAATTGAAAATTTTAAAAAACTTCCTGTCTGAATAGAATCAATTCTACCATAGGCAGAAGAAAACAAATATTTATTATATCACCCTTCTTCGGGTGTGAATTTGTACTTGGTATAAACTTTTTTCTGTCTTTTTTGGTGCTTTATGTTTAAAAATAATTCGATTTTACAACATTCTAACTTAAAATTGATTCGACAACGTTTTACTATGTTTTTGTAATATTGAAGAATTGATTCTCACAATTTACAATTCAACCAAAGTCGATTCTATTTGAAATGACGACAAAACTTCTTGTAAGAATAGAATCAATTCTACTAAAAGCAAATATAAAATTAATATATTACCCTTCTTCTAATGTGAATTTGAATTATTGGGCGAAAATCTAAGACGCTATGTTTTTAATAAATTTATTTTCTGACATCCAAATAAAATACTTCAATGTAAACAAAACAAAAATCAATTTCTAATATTTAGTTCTTTAAATATCTATTGTTTAAAAATCAATTGTTTTACAATTATTAAGGACATCCATAGTAGAACTTCTTTTTCACATATTATATACCAAGTTGTCAATGATAAAAGAAACCAAGAGTCTT